CACTTGCTTCTGCTGCAGACAAGAATATTTCCAGGTGCCATTAGGAGCTCAGGTTATTTCTGCTCCACTCAGGCTGCAGCTGCCCAGCAGCAGTGCAAGCTGCACTGGGAACTCCTAGTGCTGAATTTGGAGAGAATATATAATAGGGACTTCTCTCTCTGATGAAGGAGGATAATTCTGACCTTAGCATATCATGAGTAAGACACTAAGCTGGAGTCTGAAGTGCAAGAATCCACCTATCTCTTGGGAAATCCTCTGTTTGCTCTGTGATAACACAATAATGCTGAAAAGAGGTGGGCACTGATAAAGACATTAATACCAATTACAAGGCAGGTATAAGCAGAGTGACATTGCTAAACAAAGCAGAACACTGCCTACTTTCACCAGACCTGAATTTTAACTCTGATATTTTGTAAGGGCTTACTTGAAACTGTACCTCAAATATTCATTCATGAGAAAAGGCTGTTTGTTTTTCACAGCAAACTGCTCATACACAATTTACAAATGGCTACATATATCCTTAATTAGTTTTCAACAACCCTGCTAAATACTGAGGGCAAACTAAATCCATTTTATGTCAAGGCTGCAGATACACAGTCACTTTATCTAATCAGCCCCAGCTGCCTTAAAGCGAGTAACTCAGAAACAAAGAGGCTACCAAACCAAATAACTTCTGTGAGGCCTGGCTGGAGGAGAAGGGGATCAGGTTGATTACTGCTCACCTGCCACACTGAGGCATGCAGGCAACCTGAAACAAAGGGAGTTTTCAGTGCTTCCCAATGACACACCTAGTTTGTGAAGTAATTACCTCTGACGCATGACACAAAAGATAAACACTGAGTCTTGTAGCATGTTGGCTAGCAACTCCTCAAAACACTTTGGAAAATAATATCATTATGCTACCTTTAAAATAGAAGGTGAATGTCACCTGTTTGCAGCAGGTAACCCAGAACCTAGGTATTAATCGAGTACCACTTGAGCCTCCAAAATAGACCTGAAGTGCTGCCTCAATTGTAACCAGGATTTCACACAGATTTTATTTGCTCCTAGGCAGAACATGGCTCAGCTCAGTGTTTTGCTTACTTAATAAGCTGATTATCTTTTTAAAGGTAGCATGATAAATTCTTTGGTCTCTTTTAATAAAAGACAAATGTAAGATGGGGGGGGGAAGTCTGTAACATTTAACCATATGATCACCTTCCGTGCCATGGTTTCATCTGCATGACCTCTTAGCAACTGCTAGCAATGCCTTTGGAGCCAGATTTGTTGGTCCACTGCTGTTTTGACCTTCAAGTGCTTATAGTGTGGGAGGAGAAGGGTGAGGTGCTGCTGGACTCCAGAAGCAGGGTGTTGTGTCCCTCCACCTGGTATCACTTGAGGGTGAGGATCTGATGACTCCAGAGCTAGTGGTTCATGAGCTATTTGTTCTGTATGTTTAATTATCTTGGAGCGGTAAAAACACTGTCATTGCAGCAATCAGATGTGAAGTAGAGTTTCTGTATCCCAAGAAGTTTCTCTGCTTTTCTCAACTCTGTAATTTGGCCTGACATACTTTGCTTTGGGTGTCTTAGCACAAACCTATGTCCATTAGAGACCTTCATAGACTTGCCTTGGATTATCTCCAAAGCCAGCCCCAGCTCAATACTGGATCTGAGCCCAACCAGGAGTACAAGAGCTGGAAACATCTTGCAGACATGGGTGAACCATATTGTCCCTAAGGCATGCTATGCTGTTATGTGTGGCATTTTCCTATGAGAACGTGGGTTGCCCGGTGTTGCTCTCCCTGCCTGTGGTCTGCCTGCCAGGGCAGATGGAGAGTGGGATGAAAGTGCAACATCAGCTATGGCTTTCTTCTGCAGAGTTCAGTTTTATGACCAAACACTGTTAGCGTTTGGGATGTAATTACAATAAGGGCTTCAGAGTAGGCCATACCGAGTAACATGGCCTGTTCTTGACACAGCGTGTTGAAGCGCAGTCACCCCAGAATCGGCCTCAGTTCAGTGTCTGAGTGCTCTGGGCCTAGGGCCATGAGTGGATTCTTGCCTCCCGCCCACGGCGAAACTGGTCTTTGATGCCTCTTTGCGAAAGCCTGCGAGAAGGGCTCTGCCCTCTCCATGCAGACATGGCAGGCCAGGCCTGGGGGGCAGTGTCCCTGCTCAGCCCTCCATGGCAGCTCTGCCAGGCAGGACAGCAGCACAGAGCGGTAAAACTAAGAGTCCTGGCTGCTGGCTTAGCTTCCCTTCACCTGCCTGACTCTGTGAGGCAGGAAAATGCCAAAAGCACCTTAGAGATGGCGACGAAACAGGGTTTGCACGTGCAGCTGATTCACAGGGTGGAGTAACAGCTGGATGTGCTTGCAAAGCAAGCCACGGGTCACACAGGCAGGGACCCTCCACAATGCAGATGTGCCTGGGAGGGTGCGCGGGCATCCTGGAGAGCTGCACCTGAGGTGCTCCCGGAAAGCAATGTGGGCAGGACTAACAAAATCACTTCACCCACGCTATTTCTCTCTGAGCACAATCATCTCTAGCAACACAGCATTTTTTCCCCTCGCGTTCAAATTGTTGGGAACTCTCTGGATCCCTTTAGGAGGCTGTCCCATAAGCGAGCAATGTCACAGCAAGGAATAATTTTCTACTGCATTGTATCTTTCCTAACATCTATATGTGCTCCTTCCCTGCATTGCTCCCAATACCCTCCACCCTTGTCACCTGAAATAACTGCTCGCTCATCACTGTAGTGGGTTTAGCTGTGCTGTATGAATCCAGAGAGATAAGAAACAATATTCTTTAGATAACAGCACAGATTCTTGCACAAAGTTCTTTCTTGTCTCAGAGTTCAGTCTGCACTCTTATTTAAAAAAAAAATAAATGTAACAAAAAAACACCTTTACAGGAATTACCTTAAAATGCAGCATGCAAATCATTAGTGCAGTCCTAAGGACTTTCAAAATGGTGGTGTTGTTTCAAGTCAGATTATGGCCACCATTTTCTCCACGGTTACCAATGTGTAGCACTTGATCTTTTTTTTCTGTGCTTCAAGCAGCAATTAAGTATTGTGTTTCAAATGCCACCACACAGCAACCATGAGTAAATAATGGCTTAAATAAGAAGTAAGAAAAAGTTTTGTTTGCTTTTGCAGGTGTTAAATTTCAGCAGGACAATCTAACTCAAACAAAGCCTTAAGCAAAAGTTACTGGAATTCCTGACTGACAACCTGAGTTTCATGTTAGACAAGGCAGATAATAAAAATTATCTCTCCTGGCTCTAAAATCTCTAACCACAGATTTTTACTACAGCTGTAAAATTCTGAGATTGAGTTTTTTTAACTACAGGTATAATATTTTTGTTTAATTTTTTAAAGCATGGGAAAAACGATTGCAACAACTACATGTGGTTAAACAATTTATTTCTGTAATGAGTATCCTTAAAAAGACCCCAAAGCAGTAAAACTTGCACTGACAAGCACATTGCAGGATTGAAATGTGAATTTAGGTTATTTTCTTGTTCTTCTGGTAACCTGGTTATTCCTCCCTTGAGAAGAAATGCAATGCTACGTATCCAGTACCCAGATGGATTCAAACTTACATCCTGTAAGCAATCTCATAACGTTAGGAAAAAGGTAATTGAATATTTTTAGACCCAGTAATTAATTCTGTGGAACCCATTTATGGGAAACTCAGCTGCAGTGAAACCCTGCTTGTAGAGAAGAGAATGAAAGCTGCAAGTTGTTTCAATGCAAACAAGTGATGCTTGTAAGTGAGCCCCTTCCCACAGGACTCAAGCTTGCAATCCTGCCCCCGTGTCAAAGCCCTGCAGTCAAGGTGGTGGGACCAGGCCTGTAACCGAGAGGTTTAGTGAAGAAAATTCCATGACTTCACTACGACAGGCTCCCATTGTAATTCTTAATTGGTTACTTTAGATTACCCTCTCAGCCAACCCTTGTTAATGTGAAATGATAACCTTGAACTGTGTTCATGGTTTAAGTATTATCCAAAGACCTGCACGCAGCATACCAGGACAAAGTCAGAAATTCCTTTGCACTTGTGTGAGGTCAGAATCAGGCTGATTCTGTCAGCCTGATCACAGGATCACATTAATCTAACTGTTTATGGCCCTTATCAAACACTAGATTAAGGGTTTGTGTGTGCCAGTCTGGAAAGAGAGTTTACCAGCCTGATTCTGCTACTTTTAGTCATGGTGCTATTACCTGATGTCTTGTGCATTTAAACACGAGTAGAGGTGGAAGAGGTGAGTTCTGTTCTTTAGAAAACTTGAGATCACATGAATGGAACAAATCAGTGGTTCAGAAATTATAAGAATCTGAGGGAATTAGGGGAAGTTGAAGCAGTCCTAGTCAGAATGGTTTCCCTTTTATCAAGTCAAGCTAAATGCTTACGTGTGTTGTTTGTGCTGGAGAGAGACAGAGGAGAAATTCTTTAAAATAACAGATTCCTTTTAATCTGATCTTTAATGTAATGATTCTCAGGTTTCTGTTGTGTTTTTTTGCAATGTATTCTGTAACATTATACACATTCTGTATTTATGTGTTCTATACACACATTAATTACATGTGGCTTTGATATGAACAGCCTCCTTCTCGCTCCTTTGAGAAGACTAGTGGGATGGTGCCAGGTGGCACTGCTCAAGTGAGGGAGGGTCAGTCAGATTTGGCTCACACGACACAAGGAGAGAGAGCGTAAATATGAACCTACTCCTTGAATTATTGAAGATCTATGGATCTATGCACCTCAGCACCCATGTGCTGCTTCCTGGAGCCCTCAAAAGCCTCTCTGCTCTGCTCAGCAATTCCTTTTGCATCTTCCAACCCAAAGCTGCTTTTTCAATACTTGTTTACCCACAGCCTGTTAGCGGTGCCCTTCAAGCCACACTGTGTTTCAGCTCCTCTCCACTCTCCCTGCTCCCCTTCGAGCCCTCACCCCTCAGCCCAGCTGGGAGCCAGGGAGGCAGTTGCACCAATGGTCCTGGTTCTCCCCACAGGTGAGAGGGGAGAGGAGAGCACAGTGGAATGAGGAGAGGTGCAATCCCTGTTGTTCACAGTAAAGAAGCAAGGTGTGGCTCATCCCGAATTTGCCTGAAACACTATCTCATGAAAGGACAGCCGGCAACCAGGAAGAAGGTTTATCAGGTGAAGATTACTTGGAATTGTCCATCCAGGCCCTACAACAAAGGCTGGGCCTGATGGGATTGCGAGTTTTGGTCTGTGTAATATGGTTAATAAAAAAACTGCCCACAAACAAGGTGAACTGGCTCCAGGTGTTATGGGCAGGGAACAGACTGCTGTGGGACGCACAAGGACCTTCACTGGAGCACATCTACAGGGCAGTACATGCAGGACACAAAGGGTCTGCTACAGCAGCCAGTAAACGTTATATTATCCTAACCGCATAACAAGTCAGGTTTATTATTCTTCAGGTCTATTTTTATTAATATTCAGTTAATACAGCAGTGAGCAGGATGTATCCACAGGTCTATCCATAAAGGAAGTAATTTACTGCCTGCTTTACAACAGTGCTGTGTAAACAAACACTTGAGTTGCATTAAGTACTGCATTTCTATGGGAGTAGTGGCATACTCAGGTGAGAGCAAACCCAACACTCTGGAGAAAACCAAGCCCCAGCTCCCACTGTTACCAGTCCACAACAGTGTAAAAATAAATCAATGTTGTTAATCAGAAAAATTGAGGAACTGAAAATTATGCCAGCATGCTCTTTAAAATTCAATGTTTCTATTTTTTCCACTGGACTTCTGCTTTGTGCAGCTTGAATACAGCATTAGAGAGGCCCTGTCCTTACTCTAAAACTCTCATGGATTTCAGTCAGTCAGGATCAGGCCCAGGATGGGCACCTGAAACCAAAAGGGTAAGAAAGGAAGCCCAAGGGACCATCCTTACTTCCCAGCATCAGAGTGATTTCTTATAAATGCCTTAAAACACTCTTAAAAAATTAAAAATATTTATAAATATATAATTCTACAATCCCTGTCTTGGCCTGTTACACCTGTCTCTGTATGAGAGGCAGATTTTCCTCTATTCTTTCTCCCTAAATCACAGAGCAGGCTTCAAATGTCATTATTCAACTGTTTCTTTCTCCACAGACGTAACAGTTTCTCGTAGTGCAGTTTCACCGCTGAACAGCAAATGGAACTGACCCAGATGGAGACAGGGATCTGTAAGACCCTCCTCAGATTTGCAGTGTTTCCTTGCCGCAAAGCGCATGTCTGAACTGTTTGTTGGGCCCCTGCAGCAAGGCATGTATCTCATTGTGAGACGACTGACTTCAGCTCATCCTTGAAACCAGCATCCTCCAGAACTCAGTGAAATTACAACACTTGTTTCACCATGTACATATACTTGAGTCTTGCTGAACTGGAACCTGAATAAAGCATGGGTCCAGCAAGCATTCCTGTACGTGCTCGAGGATAACAGTTGACTAATCAATTTGGGGAGAGCTGATGGACAACTGCTAGTGACTGTGACTTTCAGTAAAACTAATTTTCATCCTTAAAATTTTTCGAATCATTTCAGTATGTATGTCTGTACATAAGTCACTGTGGCATACATACTGCCCTGTTTCTTGCAGACATAGGAGCTTTGAATTTTTACTCTCCACCCTCCCACATTCCGGTGCAATTCCTTTCCTTAATGAGCGTGCACACAAAGTGACCTCTGTGTTCCCTTCTGCAAAATTGCGCACTGTATCCCTGAACTCTGGAGCTCACATTTTCATGATAAAAGGTGCAATTATTTTCCCATGCAGCAACATTTGCAACGAGGCTGGCTTTGCAAACAGATCGTCAACTTCTCATTAGGTTGACAAAAAATTGGTCAGCCTGAGAAGAAATCTTTTGCACGTGGCAAATTAGTTTTATTTATGCACCCCTTTACATTAGTCTTTTAAAAGAGCCTCCTGAAGGCAAAGGCAGACACTACTGCTCAGTCCACCCTTCCCTGTGCATTACAAATGGTTTATTAATGAGGCAGGTAGAATCTGATTTTATGCAATCAGTCATGAAAATGTGTTAACAACTGCAACCTAAAATTAGCACCTTTCATGACTACAAGATAATTACCAAACTTCCCTCAATTACATGATTTTCCTTAACAGTTACAGTTTCATCTTTGTCATTCTGGGGTCTCAGAAAACTCTAAGCAGCACACTCCATTGGTGACCAAGGCACTGACAAGGCAGAAACTGGATCTGTGTAATTCTAAACACTACTCACAGATCTCTTTTCCCCCACACTAGATGAGATTCAGTGAGTACAAAACTCCACTGACAGTCTTTGACCATGCCTTTGATTTGTGGTGGTGGCAAAACTGCTTGTCCCAGTAACCTCCAGTTATGACATTCAAGTGATAAAAACCACACAAATCAACACCTCCACTAACAATGCAATTTCGCTATTTTAATGTGGGGAATTACTTGCGTTTTACTTTTGGCACAGGTTCTGATTTAATTCCCAGTTAAGTCAATGAGAGCCTGGAGAATCTTTTGGTTTGCTTCAGTGATAGGGGATAAACCCAGCAGTCAAGGTTTATTCTCCAAATATTATCTGCTTATCAGGCAGTTGATATTGTTAGCTCAAAGGCAATAAAAACTTTGCATCCAAATATAAGATTTTGTGAGATCTTAGTTGACAGACGGATTTATAATGGATAATACAACCTTGAATTTCTTCTTAAACTTTAGTTAATTGAAACATTTGGGAAGTGTGGATCTTTCTAAAACAACCTTTTGAGGAACCATACTGAAATTACGTTGCCTGCTCAGGAGCTTTAATGTCAGTTAACCCCAACTTTCCAATCACTGTAAACCATCTTTAAATTAAGACTATTATAAAACTGGATTCTAATTTTGTTTGGATAAAGCAACTCAAGACACGACATGGACAGAGTTAACCAGATACAAGACAGATCTATACTAAAACTGCAAATTTTACTTTCTCTTCCCTCCTAAACTTTTTCCCCAGTGAAGAAAATATAGCAGCAGGCTTTATAAAAAATTCAGTGAATCTTTATGCACCGAGGGCATGGGCTTGAATATACTGAAATTCTTTAAAAGACTCTCATAGGCTTCAGTGGACTTGTAGTCAAGATGTGAATGTGAGAGGCAAGAGATTCCCCAATTTTTTTCTAAATATGATCAACAGTGATGGAAGTGACCAGCTCTGTGAAATGTTGTGTAAAATTTTGTAGTACGCTATTGTATATGGCTTGATAATGATACAGACGTGAGAGCCTGGGAAGTAGTATGGAATAGAGTAATTCCTGAGTGAACCACCTTCTGGAAGATTTTATTGTAATGAATTAATGGGCAGCAGATGCTGTGAGGAATGCATTTCTCTGTCTTTCAACAGCGCTTCATATGTAGAATAAATACATGTGAAGCATGCTACACCTCTAAATATATGCACCAAAGACGTATAGCCAGGATTTCTCTTTAGAAATTACAAAGCACTATCAGGTGACCAGTAGCATAATCTTTAGTTTAAATAATTCAATACTTCTGAGAATAATTTTTAAGCCATAACATAAATAGGTTCTGAAATCCTACAACAGAAGTTGGACAAACAGAAACAGCTTCTGCAAAGTTTATCTTTTGCACTCCACTTGCCAAAAACGTGGTCTAAATCAGGAAATGGTGTGAACTAAACCAGTCAAAGTCCAACTAATTAATATTTTACTATAGCTGTTAGCAGACAAGACTGTAAAAAGCCCTTCTTCCCCGTCTGCGCGCTTAGCATGTGATAGGCCTATCACCTGGCAGAAACTGTCCAGGAGCCTTCTGGCTCAGGCTCCAGATTAACACAGATCTTGTCTGCGCAGACAAATTCCTGTGGGCGATGAAGGGCTTACACAAATGAGTGTTTCAGGGCCACACCAGCATGTTGTTGCGTTTGCAACCTGTCTAACTGCCAGAAGATGCACTGGCTGTAGAAAACTGGGGATTTCCCACGACACCCATATATCCACGTGATTTGACTTCTGCATCCTCCTAAGAGCTACATCCAAGAACTCCAGGGGTGATGATTCCTGTGAGACTTAAGGGAGGTAATTAACACTGCTTGTTCAGTCTCATGCTACATTTGCCAAGCTAATACATGCACCTTTTTCCAAGTGCTGTCTCAGTTGAACGGTTTGGTGAACTGGAGAATCTTCCACCCCCACGTAAGAATACTGGGCAATTGGATCTTGACACTACTTACTGTTGAGCTCTTTGACCACATGAAAAGATGATCTGGTCTTTCATCTTTACCAGTAGTTTTCTGACCTTAATCTCAGGTGCACACCAATATACCAGCAGACCTACTGGAGGGACTGCAGCTGTTAAAGGCATACATCTCAACCACAGTCACAAACGGCTTCTATAAATAGAGCATGAAAGTCACACATGGCTTTTATGGGCCAGGTGTTCTAGAAGCTATTTTTGAGTGGCACTGAATCCTACCAACATATTTACCCCATTTGTTAAATGTTTACAGACTGCTTGTGCTATATGCCAAAAATAAATCTCCATCGGACTCTGTCATGGATGAGGGGCACGTGAGGATGCTCCTACCCAGAGACCAAAATCAGCAAAGCTGAATTAAGGTTGGTTATACATCTAGAGATGGACACAACCTGGCCCGCTTCCTGCCAGTTCATTTCACTGCTGTCAGGGGTATCAGAGGTTGCACACCATGCTCTCACAGCTAGACTGACACCAGAGGCAGCTGTGGCTGCTGCAGCCGGTATCCCTCTCCACCCCTCAGGTTCACTCCTAAACCCAACGAACCATGAGCCTCTTGTCCCTTCACTGCTGGAAGGACACGGGCGGACAACTGAGAGCAGCATCACAGCACATTCTCCCCTTTTACAGGGAAGGCCAAGGAGGACAGCCCTGAAATACACCTCTGACCCTCCCGCCCGCAGCTCCTCTGGCAATTCCGCCCTCGGCCGCTGCTGCCCCCTCCAGCCTGCCCCGGGAGACGCCGGCGAGGCAGCAGCCCTCGGCCCGTCTGCACTGGAGCCTCCCCTCAGCCCCGCCGCCATTTTGAACGGGGAGCTGAACGGCCCGGAGGTGGCAGAGGGCCCCGGAGGTGGCAGAGGGCCCCGGAGGTGGCAGAGGGCCCCGGAGGTGGCAGAGGGCCCCAGGGCAGCGACGACCAGTGACCCCCCCCCACCTCCATCAAGGGCAGAAACCCGTGGCTTCCCCCCCTCACCGCGCTGAGGCTGTGATGGAGCTGCCCCCCACCCCACCAAAACACCCAACCCCGGAGCCCTGCGCATGCGCACGCCCGCCGCCCCGTCACCCCGGGGAAAGGCGGGGAACGGTGGGACTTTGCCCTGGGAGAGCCGGTGGCGTCACACGGGCGGCGGCCAATGAGAGAGCGCGATTAAAATAGCGCGCTATAAATAGCAGCCCGCGGGCCGCGGCGTCAGGTGCGGGGGGGCTGTATGGGATGGCGGCGGGGTTTGGGGTGGGGGGGGCGGGTGCCGCCGTCCCCTCGTCCCTCCGGCTCCCCACCGCCCTCCCGGAGCCGGCTAGGCGCCGCCGGGGCGCGTCCGCCTCCCCCTGAGGGAGACCCCAGGACAGGGCGCGACGCCCCCCGGGCCGTGGTGCCTCGTCTCTTCATCTCCCCTCCAGGACTCGGTGATTCTTCCTGATGGCTTTAGTTAATTTCTTCCTGTAGAGCGTGCCCTCCTCCTCTCTCCGTGGTGCGGCAGAAAATGGTTTCGGGGCTACTACGGGGCCAGGCCCTTCCCGGGTGGGATCCTGCTGGAAAGACGCAGGCCTGCCCCGCTCGGGGCTTGCTGCTCGGGCCTCCCGGCCCTGTATAGGCATGCACCACGAATGCATCAACCCATAGCCACCAACGGAGAAACATAAGCTGAGGTTTTCTTTTTTTATTCTTTTTCCGTCTGGGAAAGACGGGGATGTATCACATGGAGGTGAGTAGAGGAGAACTGTCTTAAACATGACAGAATGAGAGCAAATGGTCTTCTAGTAGATTTTTGCTTTAGTATGTGATCAGGAAAATGTTAAAAATGTGCCAAGTTCCTGACAATACGTAAGGCTGCAAGTGCTACAACTGCAGTGAGTCACTTAAAAGATGTGTTCCTACTTGCCTGCACGATGCTGGTTTTGTGAAAATGCCCATAGCACACCCATTCTTGGTCTGCACTGTGCAATTGTTACACGTGTTCTTGCTAATTGCATACACTATGTTGTTGCTCTCCTATCAGGTAAGGTATCTGCTGTAGGGTCACAGGGATTTGAGCTTTATTTGTTGGGTGTTTGGTTTTTGCTACTTTTTGTGAGACCTTGGTAAGATAATAAAGAATATGCATTTGCTATTTGGGAACATACATTGCAGTGTATTTTATATAATTATATATGTATATATACTTTCATCCAACTGAATAAATATGAAGCTTATTCTCTGTTCTTTACAAAGTTGCTGCTGGATCCAAGGAGAAATATTTACTGGAATGCTTAACATGGTATCTGGGGGGAGGAGGGATCATCAAATGAAATTATGAGGTGGCAGGTTCAAAAGAAGGTAACTCTTCACGCAAAACAATACATCTTGGAACTCATTGCTACAGGATGTTGAGGATGCTAGAAGTTCAAAAAGCAATTAGACACAATCACGGAAGAAGAATCTGTGCAGAGATGTTCAACGCAAGCACCTCTGATTCAGGAGCCCTTTGAGGTGCAAATCTACATCCTGCGGAAGCATTTTGGGGAGCAGGCTCCCCTGTTGTCACGCTGTCATTAGGTGATTCCTGTTGTCCTGGGCTGGACTAGAAATGCTGCTCTTCTGATCCAGCATGGTCATCTCTATGTTTAACTGTCATTTCATTTAATGTGGGTGGGTTTTTTTCAACAATCTTTAATAAATCCTAAACAGCAATTCTTGCAATAAACTTTTGTGGTATGTAAATACTCTTTCCTTATGCTCTGCACATCTCTGTTCATTCTTGCCCATTGCTCTGAATGAGGGATGGACTGGTGCTTTACTGTGTGTTTATAATGCTGCAGCATTAAGCTGAGCACTGGTCCATGTCTGTATTGTACAATTATCCAGGAAATATAAATATTATTAATCTGTATTTCTGAAGCTGACCACAAGCCAAAAGGTCTGCTGCTCATATAAACATCCCGAGTAAGAAATCATGGAGCCCCAGCCCTCATTCCCTGGTGGAATGTGCCAGATGGGCCATTTGAGAAAGCGATTAAAATACCAGCAATACCTGCCTAAAGCGCTGCAAATACCACGCTCCACAGCTGCGAGCCCTTGGATTTATTACCTTGGAGCATGGGACTGGTGCCGCTGAAGGGGGAGATGCCGGCATAGCAGAAGGGGTGCGAGGGGCTGTGGGGTGCCAGCCCCCACCTCTGAGGTGGGTCCCCCGGCTCCGTGCCTGAGGCAGAGGGGAAGGGGTGTCTGTGAGGGGGCACGGCAGAGGGCCTGGTGAGGGGCTGCATGGGCACCTGATGAGGACCACGCGCTGGCAGTAGGCTTGGAAATTGGAAATGGGGTAGGCTGGGCTTGGTCCTTGGATTTTTCCTGATCGAAGGGAGATACAGTCGCCTTGTGTGACATGGGTAGCTCCTGTTCCAGCCTTGCTGCCAGAAGGAGATGGGTTGATGCATACATTTTCCATTGAAGGATCAGTTGTCCACATTGATGCTTTTTTTTTTTTTTCAAAGACAAGCCTAATTTTTGTGCTCAAGAATGGATGTGCCCTGAAATAGTACTGGGAACAGAGGCATGAGCAGATCTTTGTATTGAACAGTATTCAGCACAGATCTTCTGAAAAAGTCCTAATTCTTTTCCTGCCAAGGCTGGACAACCACCATAGACTTAATTTAAACATAATGGAAATCCAATATATCTGTTGTAGGGCAGGGGCGAACAACCCAGGGGAAGACCTTTTCCCTAAAGAGAATTGAAAAGAGGAAGGGCATGTGCTTCTGCTGAGGTGTGTCCTTGCCACACAGATGGGATGTGTACAGCTCTTGGCTTGGAGACACAGCTTCCCACGTATGCAAGGATCCAGCTCAGGATGGAAGTGGGTAACCCAGACAAAGCCAAATAAAATGGTAAACCTGTTCTTCCTCCTGTCTGTCTCACCTGTGTTCCTGTTGCTCTGCTGGCTTTGCAGGGCAGCGGTGAGAGGCTGCAGGCATACAGAATGAGAGACAGCATGTGCTTATAGAGGTTGACAATGGAAGCGAGTCCTGCTGCAAAGTTACTTTTCTTTTATGCAACTGCCATTTGTGTTGCTGATAGCTATGCAGCTGATGGTGTTAGCAGCCCCTCAGAGGTAACATTTTCGTAAGCATGAGTAGTTCTCCAACAGCTGCTTAAACATGCAACCACACCTTGGACTCAGATGCTTTGTGTAGTACTTTTCTCCAGGAGTGAGTTAGCATATAGTTTAAATAAAGACATTAAAACTGAATTTATTGTTTAGTCAGAGGGCACAGGCCTGCAGGGGATGGGGTAGGTCACTGAGCTCAGTGACCTATAATAAAAAAATTTGTATTTATTAAACAAAGGTAATACTACTGGATTTGTGAATTTCAGTATTAGCAACCTGATTGTTTGCAATAACCATGTTCTTAGGTTTTTTTAAGTGAGTAGATTTTTATACCTGCCTGGAACACGAAAATACATTTCTCAGCTATTTCACTCATGGTCACCCAGCATCACAGGTAACCTCAGTGGAAGAGAGGAGCTTTGGGGAAGCTCAGAACTAGTGTCACGGCCAGCCTGCTCTGCCTCTGCCTGCCACCCTCTGCCGCAACTGTCCCCAACAAGCCCCTGGGGCGCTGCAGTCCCAGGTGGCTCCCACAGCAAGTCCATCCTTGGCACTGCATGGAGCAGGGACCGTGAGACTCTCCACAGGCACCTGTGGAGTGTCCAGTGTCAGGACCTCGAGGGCTGCTCTGGCAAATCCAAATGCTTGTGGGTTTGGCTTTGCCACATCAGTAAAATACCCGTCAGAAGCAACATATTCGTTGGGAAGGGTTGAAGTATTGAGGAGTACAGACCCAGGAGTGACCAGCAGTGGATCCCTGAGCAGGGCAAGTGTGCTTCCCAGGCCGGAGCAGTCTCACACTACGAGCAGGGGGTTGTGCAGGCACAGATGCTGCCAGGTGACCTCAGGCACCAGCTCTGTGCAGAAGTATGTTGGCAGAGGTGGCTGCCCAGCCCCACGGAGAGCATGGGCCCGTGGAGAAACCCTTGCTGGAGTGCTCTCATCTTCCCTAACCCTTGGCCATATGAGGATTTTGGCAGGCAGCTTACAGGAGCATGAAGGTTGGTCACCCTGGAATAACTTCACTTCTCCAGCCTCCAAGACATTAACTTGCCACTGCTACACAACAGACACCCAGGGATCAGCTGTAACTGTCAGGGACACAACTCTTCTACCTCTCGTTACCAGCCAGCTCCCTCCCCGTATGTCAGTTTGTCCCTGCTGCACGTTTCTAACGCTGCTTTGTGCAAATATTTTAATGCAAATGGAAGGAAATGCAGCAGAACCTGCCCAACCACTGATCTGTCTGCTAGCAAGATGCCCTCTCTGGGTCAGTGCCGTGCAATTTTTATTGGCACAGGAGCAAGACAGGCTCCTAAGTAAATTCTGTTGCTATTGCTATCTTTAAGCCAGAGCGAATTTAAATAATTCCCATTCAGCCAAAGGAATGTGACTGCTGGGCTGAGTGCAGAGGTCAGTAATGTCCTCCCACCAGCAAAGAGTCAATTGCAAAAGGTGGCTCGGGGATGGCCATTATAATCTTTTTCTTTTAAACTTGAGTACACCTTATCCATGTGAAGTAATACTTTTTGTCAAATAAGCATTCCTGGTGCCCATACTGCTGTTATCGTTAAACAAATATGCATTTAGGGGGTATGGAAACAGGTTTATGATTTTTTTTTTTTACCAAGAACAACCATTAACTGTTGACAAAAGAATAGAAATTGCACCGTACTTTTGAGCTAAAAGAATTGGTTCCCCTCTTCTTATACATTCTGCAAATTTACTGTAAGATAATTTTTACAGTGTAGTACTATTTTCATGCCACATTTGTTTTCTTAAGTGCAGACTTTAAAGTATAGATATGATTTACAGGCTTGGATTGTATTTGTAAATTCTAGTGAAGTAAAAAAGGCACTCTCATATGAACAATGCTGCAGGAAAAAAATATCTAAATGTATGTTCTCTCATAACTTTCCATAAGTACCCTCTACCCACATTATAGCAGATGGAGGGTGAAATCCCAAGCAGTGTTAACTAAAACACCTTAGGCTGACCTCGTAGTCACTTGACAATTTTACAGCATAAACAAAAACGTCTTCACATTCTACTTAAAAAAACAAATGTTGTTATGAAGTCACGAGCTAGATATGACCAAACCTGCTTTGTCTTCTGTAGCTGTGCATTGTTCACATCACTCCAGGTAAGTGAGGATAGGGACTTTCTGAACAGAACTTTTAATGTTATGTGAAAATCAGATATGGTGTATGAGCTTTGGAATTTCTCTTAAACATGTTCTCAATCTTTCATAAGCCAATATTCCTGAATTATTGCAATGGATTCAATTTTTCTTACAGCAATTTAAGAATAAAAATAATGTTGCAGACAATTTAAATACAACAGTTCAACACTCTCTAACTAAATTTTCCGGCTAATAAAGCACAAAGCAGAAATGGCAGAAATTAAAATTTTCCAGTTGACCACCTTCCCTTGGAAAATTTCCAGAACAAATATTCAAGTCAGCATTCGGTTGCTTGAATCTTTTCACAAATATCCACAACAATCGTCTTAGTGATGCTAAATCTCTTGTAAAGGTATGACAAGACATCCAGTAATGACTAATCCCCTAAAACTGACATCTAGTATTCCACTAAAGAAGCTAAAGCATTTACAGTTCTCACGAGCCACACCTGAATGTCCTTTTTATTTATTCTAATCCAGATAAAGTTGGCCATAATAAGACTGATTTATATGAAGTCATGACAGGAGTCTGCATCCTTGTGGAAGAAAAAACAATGTGAAATCTTGGTCCCATTGACTTCAATACCTAAACCAAATTTTCACAGCCAGACTTTGATTCTTGTCTTGTATGTTATCAAAAAAACCAGCAATTGTTCTCAAATACTAACAAGCAGGTGTGGTGAGCATGGATAATTTTTATTTCAGACATATGACATATATTTGGATACTTTTAGGAATGAATGATAAATGAAAAATATAGCACAGTACATTGAATTACTGTGTCTTAAAACACAGAGTTTACAGAGGAATGTTCCATCTTTAGAAAGTGTGGTCTGATAGCCTAATTTTGATCTGACTACAGACACTCAGTTTAACACATTAAAATCTAATGATCCTCAAACCACTGAGTGGATTTGTTGGTGGTTACATCACGTTATTCCTGATTTTCTGCTACCTACAGATAGAGGTAAATACCTGACATCCTCCAAGGGAGCTTTTCCATGTGAGCAGTAGCTGCCCTGATTATCACTGGATATCCTAGCCCAGGAGGGAGGGAAGGCAGGGTCTGCCTTTGAAGCCACACATACAAGTGGTCCAGTGAAAAGTCTGAACATCCCTTTCGAGGGTTTGAGATGTGGAGCAGATCTTTGTCTCTGCAGGTGACATTCCTGACATCCCACTCTCAGACTGGGACCTGGCCTGCTGGCTTAGCACATGAGGCAGATAATGTGCTGAACCTGGAGAGTTTCAGGAACACCAGCCTTCGCTCCATTGCCTGCTGAGATGCTCGTGTGAGGCTCTGTCAGGTAGAAGAGGCAAATCGGATGATAGCTTTCCTGTTAGTTATTCCCCAGTGCCCTGCTGGCCCCCAGGCCCATCCTGGGCAGGTCTGTCCCCTCCATCT